CATTTGTGGTTGTCTCAGACTCCCTTAGTGCTTTACAGGCTATACAAAAATTTGATACACCTCACCCCTTAGTCCTCCGTATCGAACTGTGGCTACGCCGCATCTTTACCAAGCATAAAGATATTGTTTTTTGTTGGGTCCCTGGTCATGTTGACGTACAGGGCAATGAACCGGCAGACACTGCCGCGCGGTCAGCAGTACATGACCTACCAGTTTCTTATAGAGGTATTCCATTTACGGACTATTTTGCTGCAATATCTTCCCACCTTCACACCCGTTGGCAACAACGTTGGTCTACTATGCTCGGCAACAAACTTCAATCTATTAAACCGAGTATAGGTTACTGGCCGTCTTCTTATCACCAGTGTCGAGGTTGGGAGACTACTCTCTCCCGTCTTCGCATTGGCCATACTCGTCTTACTCATGGATATCTCATGGAGAGGCGTCCTGCTCCTCTCTGTGAGAATTGCCAAGCTCCATTATCAGTCAGCCACATTCTGTTGGACTGCCCACTTTATCAACGAGCACGCAGAATTTACCTCTGTCGTCATCTTCGCTCCGCTACTCTCTCTTTACCTTCCCTTCTCGCTGATGGACCCACCTTTCATCCGGACTCTCTCATTGACTTTTTGACAACAACTGACTGACTTCACAAATTTTGATACCTTCAGCCCTTTCTACTTCAATCTCTTGCTACCCTCTACCCCCATACTATCCCCTGCCCCGCTGTTTTCTGTAACCTGCTGATCATCCCTCCTCCCTTCTGCCATCCAATACCCTCGCTTCCTTCCCTGCCCTGCAGCGCTGTATAGCCCTTGTGGCTTAGCGCTTCTTTTTGATTATAATAATATGACGTGGTGACAGCAGTTAGACGAGAGAGAGGGGTAGGTGGATTGCATTTTCTTGGACTGCAAGAAGGCTTTTGACACAGTACCACACAAGAGATTAGTGCAAAAAATGGAGGCCCAAGCAGGGATAACAGGGAAGGCACTGCAATGGATCGGGGAATACTTGTCAGGAAGACAGCAGCGAGTAATGGTACGTGGCGAGGTGTCAGAGTGGGCACCTGTGACCAGCGGGGTCCCACAGGGGTCAGTCCTAGGACCAGTGCTGTTTCTGGTATTTGTGAACGACATGACGGAAGGAATAAACTCCAAGGTGTCCCTGTTTGCAGATGAAGTGAAGTTGATGAGAAGAGTTCATTTGATCGAAGACCAGGCAGAACTACAAAGGGATCTGGACAGGCTGCAGACCTGGTCCAGCAACTGGCTCCTGGAGTTCAATCCCACCAAGTGCAAAGTCATGAGGATTGGGGAAGGGCAAAGAAGACAGCAGACGGAGTACAGTCTAGGGGGCCAGAGACTACAAACATCACTCAAGGAAAAAGATCTTGGGGTGAGTATAACACCAGGCGCATCTCCTGAAGCACACATCAACCAAATAACTACCGCAGCATATGGGCGCCTGGCAAACCTCAGAACAGCATTCCGACATCTTAATAAGGAATCGTTCAGGACCCTGTACACCGTGTACGTTAGGCCCATATTAGAGTATGCGGCACCAGTTTGGAACCCACACCTAGCCAAGCATGTAAAGAAACTAGAGAAAGTGCAAAGGTTTGCAACAAGACTAGTCCCAGAGTTAAGAGGTATGTCCTATGAGGAGAGGTTAAGGGAAATCAACCTGACGACACTGGAGGACAGGAGAGATAGGGGGGACATGATAACGACTTACAAAATACTGAGAGGAATTGACAAGGTGGACAAAGACAGGATGTTCCAGAGACTGGACACAGCAACACGGGGACACAGTTGGAAGCTGAAGACACAGATGAATCAGAGGGATGTTAGGAAGTATTTCTTCAGCCACAGAGTAGTCAGGAAGTGGAATAGTTTGGGAAGCGATGTAGTGGAGGCAGGATCCATACATAGCTTTAAGCAGAGGTATGATAAAGCTCATGGTTCAGGGAGTGTGACCTAAATAGCGACAGTGAAAGAGGCGGGGCCGGAGCTTGGACTCGACCCCTGCAACCTCAACTAGGTGAGTACACAGACAGACAGACACACACACAGACACAGACAGACACACACACACACACACACAGACAGACACAGGGCAGACAGACAGACCACACACACACACAACACCACACACACACACACACACACACACACACACACACACACACACAGACACACACACAGAACACACACACCAGACACACACACAAAAGGGCACACACAGACACACACACACACAACAGACACACCACACACAGACACACAGACACACACACACACAGAGACACACACACACACACACACACCACACACACACACACACACACACACACCACAACCCCACACAAACACACACCACACACACACACACACACACAGACACACACACAGACACACACACAGACACACACACACACAGACACACACACACACAGACACACACACACAGACACACACACACAGACACACACACACAGACACACACACACAGACACACACACACAGACACACACACACAGACACACACACACAGACACACACACACAACACACACACACAAACACACACACAGACACACACACACACACACACACACAACCACACACACACACACACACACACACACACACACACACAGACACACACACAGACACACACAACACACACACAGACACACACACACAGACACACACACACACACAGACACACACACACAGACACACACACACAGACACACACACACAGACACACACACACAGACACACACACACAGACACACACACACAGACACACACACCCAGACACACACACACAGACACACACACACAGACACACACACACACACACACACACACACACACAGACACACACACACACACACACACACACACACACACCACACACACACATACACCACACACACACACACACACACACACACACCACACACACACACCACACACACACACACACAGACACACACACAGACAGACAGACACACACACACACACACACACACACACACACACACACAGACACACACACACACACAGACACACACACAGACACACACACACGTCAGCAGTGGAGTGACACTCGTCTTGCACCATGCTTCAAGGAGTTTTATATACTCCATGTCTAAAACATTGCTGCAACCTATAAATACTTCATTTCTAGACAATAGTAAATGACTAAGGCAGGTGAAAATGGTCACCTGTAGGTGTGTTTGTGACTATATTTGAGTATTTCAGTATCTAATATTAGTTTCAGAACAAAGATTTCAGTGCCAATGTTTGGCTCTGAAATCACAAGACCTATTATAAATTGTAATTATCAGAACAATTACATGTAAAATTAAAATAAAAATGAGAAAACGTATATCTGCAACACTTCTGCAAGCGGCTGGAGTCCATGATGCCGCCAGGTGAGCATCCAGCACCAACTTCACGGTCTTGTATCTCAGCAAGTACTGATCCTAAAAAAAAAAAAAATTCTTATTATACACACAAAATTGTCCTTTATAATTTTTTTTCCCCCAAAATATTTGGTGCACTGGCAGTGAAAATGTAATCTACATTTGGACAGTTTGAGGGTTAAGAATGTTTTTAGCAAGTAGTTTGAGATATTAAATTGTCAGCCCAGCACGTAGTTGATAGAAGTTTAAAAGATTTCATATTTATTCTGCTTTGAATAATGGAAGCCCTACACAAATTAGGTATATTATACACCATAATTTGTGTATGTAATGCCATTTTTTGATGTATTTCTCTTCTAAAATCATCTTTATCTCAGTCCCTGTGTGTATTCTGTCAACAATTGAGGATTCTTTTACAGTGCTTTATACCTAAGTCATTTGCACTCCTGCATCATTTTTTTTACTGCTGTAATATGTAATTTAATTAATGACCAAATCCTGGTTAACATAATTCAGCTTCAGTAAAGAATGAAAATTTCATTAGTATTTTGTTAAGTGTGAGAGTGGCAGACATATTTAAGTGCTCGCCTTTGATGTGGTGTGTGCTTTCTTTATCAGTTTAGCTTTTAAATTTGAATGGCTTTACTCACTTTTGATTTTCATCCATGAAGTTTGTTTGAGTTGTTTATTTAGCCTTTTGATAACAGCAATTGAGAATTTGTGCCTTAAATGAATTAATGAATAATTAGTTATCATAACCTTTGAATTTGTTTAGCCGAGTTTAGAGATGTATTTATGGGGTCAGTTCAATGCCTAGCTTGTAGAGAATAATTTTTATTAATTGCCCTAATAGGTAATTTTCTCATTCCCACAATGGCCAGGAGCTGTATAGTGATCATGATGTAAGTAAAGTATAAAGTTTCAGACCATAATAAATTTAAAGTTGAAGAATTTGTAGTGGTCCATTATATCATAACATTTAGGTTGTATTTTACTATTTTTAAATTTTTTTATTTTTTCTGTAAGTTGATATTTAGTTTTGATATGTATATTTAACTAGATTAATGCTTCAGGTAGTTTGCTACTTCATTAAATAAAGCCCATGTAGAATTAGAGTTTCATACCTTACTCATTTTGTTGTGCTTCTGCTAAGTATAATAGTTTATTGATTATTAAATGTATATACGTACTGTGCAGCTTCCGCAATTTTAGTATTTTATAATGTTCAAATGAAATTGATTTCTTCAGTGATATAAAATGTATTCTCATGGTATCCCATTGGTTTAAAAAATAAAATGGTGTCCCATTGTTTAAATATGGAAATTTGGAATAATACATCACCAAAAAGTTGCTATAAGAATGTTATTATTGTGGGTCAAGAGTAATAAGTTAACCCTTAAACGGTCCAGACAAATTGACGTTCAAATTCGTAGCTACAAAAGTAGATCTACTTTTTTTTAACATATTTTCATATGTAACAAAAAATAAAATGTAGATAAAAGTTTTTTTACACGTTTTCAAATGTAAAACAAAAAAGAAGATTACATTTTTTTACATACTTTCAGATGTTGAAAAAACGTGTATATACACTTGGACCATTTAAGGGTTAAGGCTGCAAAAAAGATGAAAGCAAAGGTAAAAATAACACTGAACTGGAATGAGCAAAACATTAACATAAAGGTGAATTCCTTAAAAGGGGTTAAAAAATGGACAAGTCAATTAATATTGTCAAAAGTTAAGAGGCAGGGATAAGAGCTGGAGCTTTCCCTTCCCCTCTTCTTACCAAATAACAAAGTATAGGTAAAGGGATGCATAACTGACAGACCACACTAGGTAGTTGTCTTGCCTATCTGCATGCCTGGAAATTGTTCTTTTTCTATTGATAAGACCTGTTGTTGGCTAGCTCATTTTGTAGGCTAGCAGAAAGAATATTGAATTCTTGGTTATGGTATTTAAGTCATTTGTTAGTACTCATTTTCAGTACAGATTTTACAAACTACTTAGCAATATAGATCTCTATGATTACAATTTGGTACAGTACTGTAATACGATAAGAAATGCCTTGCACTCGTGTAACCCTTTAGTTCTCTTGACACTAGTGTTTGGGTGTCAAGCATAAACACTCAAAGCACTCTCTCTTTATCACATGGCTTTTGTAACTTCTGTACTTTTCAACTGTATATAGTCTCTGGAAATTGGTATGCCATCGCTTAAGTGTGATAAATCTTCATCTACTGTTCTTTTGTCAGCACATTCATATGTTTGTAATAAAAATGAGTTTAGTGATAATATGCCAATCGTAATGTTGTTAATGGAATTCTTCTACGATCATTATTGATCCCAGTCATGTTCTTAATTATAAAATTAATGATCTGTGGGGAGGTTTAACCAGTTACCCTGTTTATAATGCTGCATAAATTTTATGCAAAGAAGATAAAATATGGAAAGCAATATAGGAAAGAGTTTTGAGGAAATTTTTGCAAAAAAAAAAAAAAAAAAAAGCTATAATCTTAAATTGAGTGAGATACAGATTATATGACAGTTTACCTGGAGATAGTTCCGGGGGGTCAATGTCCCCGTGGCCCGGTCTGTGACCAGGCCTCATGGTGGATCAGGGCCTGATCAACCAGGCTATTACTGCTGGCTGCATGCAATCCAACGTACAAACTACAGCCCGGCTGGTCAGGTACCGACTTTAGGTGCTTGTCCAGTAACTGCTTGAATCCAGCCAGGGGTCTATTGGTAATCCCCCTTATTTATGCTGGGAGGCAGTTGAACAGTCTTGGGGCCCCTGACACTTGTGTTGTGGATGTAACCATTTCAAAATTGTTGTGGCTGGACTGGCAAGAAAAGGTAGTTTGCAGTACAGTCAGTTGAATTATATAAAGTATGCAATTTTTAAGCAGATAGTACATTAGGTATATCTACTCCTGTAACAGGAAACGGATAATTGCATGCATATTCAATTTAACACATGCATACACACTTCAGAACATATCTATAAGGTTAGAAAAATGCTTGACAAGTGATAAATTTAGCTTTAGTAACACATTGTTGCTAAAATTAATAACATTTCTCATGTTTATAACTAAATAAACCAGTGCAACATTGCTAGGATGTGATTGAAGTTTTGTTTACTTAAACACACAGAGAGGAGATTCTCAATCTAAACACTGTGAGGCCTAATGTTCTCTAATATATCAGCCCTTATGTGTGTGTGTGTGTGTGTGTATATACACAAACATTGAATCTACGTCCACAGCAGGACTCGAACCTCCAAACTCTGTATCAGAGTCCACAGCACTTTACCACTGAGCTAGACCCAAGATAAGTATGGGCACTTAGCCGAAGCTAAGCAGTGTTACCCCATACCCCCGGGCACCAAGCTCATTCTGAAAGTTACTTCATCGAATCCTGCCACATGCAGTGGACAATGAAAGAGATTTGAAATGCTTAACAATTCGCAGATAGGCAAAATTATTTACAAACATTGTCTCTGCATCCACAGCAGGGCTCGAACCTGCTAACTCTGTATCGGAGTCCACAGTACTTTACCACTGAGCTAGACCCAAGATAAGAATGGGCGCTTAGCCGATGCTAGTTTATAAACGATTTCACCTGTTTGCGAATGGTTAAGCGCGCGTGCGCATATATATGTATATATGTATATATGTACATATGTACATATATACGTGTATGTGTATATGTGTATGTGTATGTGTGTATGTGTATATGTATATATGTATATATATATATATCGGTGGGAGACGGCGACTTGTTGAAAAAAAAAAAAAAAAAAAAAAAAAAAAAAAAAAATTTTTATATATATATATATATATATATATTATATATATATATATATATATATTATATATATATATATATATATATATATATTATATAATAAATTTTTTTTTTTTCCAACAAGTTGGCCGTCTCCCACCGAGGCAGGGTGACCCAAAAAAGAAAGAAAATCCCCAAAAAGAAAATACTTTCATCATCATTCAACACTTTCACCACACTCGCACATTATCACTGTTTTTGCAGAGGTGCTCAGAATACAACAGTTTAGAAGCATACACATATAAAGATACACAACATATCCCTCCAAACTGCCAATATCCCAAACCCCTCCTTTAAAGTGCAGGCATTGTACTTCCCATTTCAGGACTCAAGTCCGACTATATGAAATAACCGGTTTCCTGAATCCCTTCACTAAATATTACCCTGCTCACACTCCAACAGATCGTCAGGTCCCAAGTACCATTCGTCTCCATTCACTCCTATCTAACATGCTCACGCACGCTTGCTGGAAGTCCAAGCCCTTGCCCACAAAACCTCCTTTCCCCCCTTCTCTCCAACCCTTTCGAGGAGCCCCTACCCCCCTTTCCCTTCCCTATAGATTTATGTTTTTTCCCTGTCATTCTATTTTGACCCTTTCCTCTAAAGCCCAAAACCCACCTCAACAACCCCTTTTTCCCCCTCGACTAATTTTTTTAACTCCACCCCTTTTTCCCAATTTCCCATCGTTTTTTCTGCATAATTTTTTACACACACATTGCCCTTAAACAGGGACATCCCATGCCCCACCGTCTCCTCGCTCTGCATTTACCCCCCCAGCTTCCCCCCTTTAAAAGATTGTGGTATACAAAATTTTTTATACATTCCCTTTTTTGCCCCATAGAAAAACGTTTTTTGACCCCCAAAAACCCTCAACCCCCACTCACCTTTTTTCCCCATCAATTCTATGATTAACCTAAACCCTTCATAAACCACCGCCGAAGTCAACCCAAAGTATCTAAAAACATTCCTTCTTCCATACTCCTCTCCCCAATTTGTATCCAATTTTTTTTTATCAAAATCATTTGACACCCTCATCCCCTTTACCTTTTTATGTTCACTTTCAACTTTCTCCCTTTACACACTTCCCAAACTCCCCACTAACCTTTGCAATTTTTCTTTAAACTCCAAAAAGAAAGATATAGAAAAAGAAAACCGGTCAATTCCCATTTTGAATTTTATTCCCCCAAAATTTTAAACCATTTAAATGCATTTACTTTTCCCTTTACAACCCTCTATAAATATATTAAAAAACCCTGGTGAATTAAACATCCTGTCTAAGACTACTTTTACGGGAAGCAGTTCCCTCTTTCTACACACCCAACCCGACCCATACCTCATAAAAACTCTTTTCGCTTTAATTTCCCCCTTTCCTATATTTAAAAATCGCCCCAAATTTTCTCCTTATCCACTCTCATAATTTTTTTTTTCTTCCAACAATCGGTCGTCTCCCCTGAGGCAGGGTGACCCAAAAAAAAAGAAAATACTTTTATCATCATTCAAAACTTTCACCCACTCACACATTTTCATCTTTTGCAGAGGGCTCAGAATACAACGTTTGAACATATACATAAAAGATACACAACATATCCCTCCAAATGCCAAAACCCAAACCCCCCCTTTTAAAGTGCAGCTTTTACTTCCCATTTCCAGGATAACCGACTATACGAAAATAACCCGGTTTCCCTGAATCCCTTCACTAAATATTTCCCGCCCCACTCCAAAGATGTAGGTCCAAGTATCATTGTCCCATTCATCCTATCTAACCCTCAGACGTTTGTGGAAGTCCAAGCCCCCCGCCCCCAAAAACCCTTTTCCCCCTCTTTCCAACCCTTTCAGGGGCGACCCCACCCCCTTTCCTTCCCTATGATTTTATGCTTTCCATGTCTTCTACTTTGATCCTTTCTCTAAATGACCAACCACCCCAACAACCCCTCTTCTGCCCTTGACTAATGCTTTTATTAACTCCACACCTTCTCCTAATTTCCACACTCCGAATTTTCTGCATAATATTTACACCACACATTGCCCTTAAACAGGACATCTCCACTGCCTCCAACCGTTCTCCTCGCTGCTGCATTTACCACCCAAGGCTTCACACCATATAAGAGTGCTGGTACTACTATACTTCATACATTCCTTCTTTGCCTCCATAGATAACGTTTTTTGACTCCACATATACTCAACGCACCACTCACCTTTTTTCCCTCATCAATTCTATGATTAACCTCATCCTTCATAAATCCATCCGCCGACATGTCAACTCCCAAGTATCTGAAAACATTCACTTCTATACTCCTCCTCCCCAATTTGATATCCAATTTTTCTTTATCTAAATCATTTGATACCCTCATCACCTTACTCTTTTCTATGTTCACTTTCAACTTTCCATCTTTACACACATTCCCAAACTCATCCACTAACCTTTGCAACCCCTCAAGGAAGGTTCCTTGATGTTGGTGAGGGGCTCTTGATTTAGGGAATTGGATCTGTGCTCCAGTTCCCCGAATTAAGCCTGAATGCCTTCCACATCCCCCCCCCTGGCGCTGTATAATCCTCCGGGTTTAGCGCTTCCCCCTTGATTATAATAATAATAATAACCTTTGCAATTTTTCTTTAGAATCTCCCATAAGCACAGTATCATCAGCAAAAAGTAACTGTTACACTTCCCATTTTGTATTTAATTCCCCATAATTTAATCCCACCCCTCTCCTGAACACCCTAGCATTTACTTCTTTTACAACCCCATCTGTAAATATATTAACCCTTAAATGGTCCAAACGTATATATATGTTTTTTCAACATTTGAAAGTATGTAAAAAAATGTACATCTTGTTTTTTTTTTTTTACATTTGAAAATATGTAAAAAAAAATAGATCTACTTTTGGAGCACTACGGATTTGAACGTCGATCTATTTGGACCGTTTAACCCTTTCAGGGTCCGTCCCGTAGGTCTATGGCTTCACGTTGAGTGTCCTGATGGAAGTGGAAATGAAGACGAATTCTATGGCTTTGATCAGTTAGTGACCGAAAAGAATGACCAGGATATTGATAATAGTGCAGAAAACCCTGACGATCCTCAACCTTCTACCTCTGGTGTGGGCACTCGTGACTCACGGTCGGTTGTTCCTCATCGCAAGAGAAAACTAATATTTTCGCGTGGCCAGGCCTCTGACTTCAGTAATGATGATGATAGTGACGTGGACTGTGATTTTATTGCGCTCGACGATCATTCGAGTAGTGATAGTGAGGAATCACATTCACCAGTGAAGTGTCGGTATGTTCGCCGCCGCATGTGCTCGGGTAGTGTACCCTATGCTGTGCCCAGGGGACGGATTACATCCCGGAGTACATCCCGGAGTACATCCCATGGCCCAACACCAGTTTTAGGTAGTGATAGTGAGGATGATGTGGCTACACTTGGCATGGATAGACCACAGGCATCAGTGGATGGTGTTAGTGGTGATGGTAGTGGCACCGCCATGCGTGACTCACCAGGCC